GCTGCCGTTTGTTGGACTAGTTGGACTAGTTGAAGCTTCCGGACATCTTCAAAGGCAACCCCACATAGAGAGAGCATTGCAGTAGTCTATTCGGGATGTAACCAGAGCGTGGACTAACGTGGCCAAGTCAGACTTCCCAAGGTACAGGCGCAGCTGGCGCACAAGTTTTAACTGTGCAAATGCTCCCTTGGTCACCGCTGAAACCTGGGGTCCTAGGCTCAGTGAACCTGTGTCTTCAGGGGGAGTGTGACCCCATCCAACACAGGCTATAACCCTATGCCCTGTTCGGCCTTGCGACTGACCAGGAGGACCTCTGTCTTGTCTGGATTCAATTTCAATTTGTTCGCACTCATCCAGACCATCACAGCGGCCAAGTTCAGGACCTGCACAGCCTCCTTAGTAGCGGGTGGGAAGGAGTGACCGAGTTGGACATCATCTGCGTACAGATGACACCGCACCCCGAAACTCTGGATGAGCGGCTTCATGTATATGTTGAACAACATGGGACATCTGTTTGTGCTTCCCATCCACCTCTTTCCCAGCTTTGTGGGATGTGCAGAGAGATGGGTGGGGCGGGGGGGGGGGGGAATAAAAATGAAATGCAAAGATACAGGTAGGGTGTCTTGAAAACAGTCCATGCGAAAGGGAGTTAGGAGTCTTAGGAGACCACAAGCTGAACATGAGTCAACTGTGTGATGCAGCAGCTAAAAAAACCAATGTGATTCTAAGCTGCATCAAAGGAGTTTTTTTTTTCATGTCAGGAGCAACTTGGGAAACTTCAAGTTGCTTCTGGTGTGAGAGAATTGGCCGTCTGCAAGGATGTTGCCCAGGGGACATTACCCAGAGGGTTTTGATGTTTTACCATTCTTGTAGGGGGCTTCTCTCATGTCCCCACATGCGCAGCTGGAGCTGACAGAGGGAGCTTTTTTTTTTTGTCATATCAGGACCGACTTGAGAAACTGCAAGTCACTTCTGGTGTGTGAGAATTGGCCGTCTGCAAGGACATTGCCCAGGGGATGCCTGGATATTTTTGATGTTTTACCATTCTTGTAGGAGGCTTCTCTCATGTCCCAGCATGGGGAGCTGAAGCTGACAGAGGGAGCTTTTTTGTCATGTCAGGAGCGACAAGGAAACTGCAAGTCGCTTCTGGTGTGAGACAATTGGCCGTCTGCAAGGATGTTGCCCGGGGGACGCCTGGATATTTTTGATGTTTTACTATTCTTGTGGGAGGCTTCTCTCATGTCCTAGCATGGGGAGCTGGAGCTGACAGAGGGAGCTTTTTTGCCATGTCAGGAGCGACTTGAGAAACTGCAAGTCGCTTCTGGTGTTAGAGAAGGGACGTTGCCCAGGGGACATTGCCCAGATGTTTTGATGTTTTGCCATTCTTATGGGAGGCTTCTCTCATGTCCCCTCATGGGGAGCTGGAACTGACAGAGGGAGCTTTTTTTGCCATGTCAGGAGCGACTTGAGAAACTCTTCCAACTCTGTGATCTGTGACTGGTGCGTACCTGTTAGCCGCCCAGAGTCCCTCTGTGGAGGTGAGATAGAAAAGGATATAAATGCCCTATATGGTTCTGGCCCGGTTTATCTGTCCGAATGTATTCTCCCCTATGAACCACCAAGACAATTAAGATCTTCTGGTGGGGGCCCTGCTCTCGGTTCGGCCACTTTTGCAATTGTGTCTGGCGGGGCCTTTTCTGTGGTGGCCCCTCGGCTATAGAACTCTTTCCCGATTGAGATCAGACCTGCCCCCTCCCTCCTGTCCTTCAGGAGGCTGTTGAAATCCTGACTATGGAAGGAAGCATTCCCAGAGTAATGGTTGAAACTGGCTACAGAACAAAGTTATTGACCACACATAGGGACTGAGTTGGACATGATTTTATCTTGGCGATTTGGCTTATTTATAATTTTAATCGATATGTATTTTCACTCATTATTATATGATGTTTTTAGATTGTACTATTAGCATTGAATCCTTGCTGTGAGCCGGTCTGAGTCCGTCTACGGAGGTTGAGAAGATTGGGATATAAAAGTTTTAAATAAATAATATAAATAAAATAAAATAAATAATAATTAAATACATACCTTTGGACTAATAAGAGGCCATACTGGCTGTGCAATTCTTGACTTATAGTCCAGAAGGTATAGTTTCTAAATTCTGGATTGAAGCAGTACATTGGTGACTTGTGTGGTATTTCTGTGTCTTTTTACATGCCCAAGTTATGGTTTATTTTGAGGATATTGAATGCAGAGATGAGACACTAAGCCTCTTTTATATATGTTCCCCAAATGCTGACCTTGCGGGGAGGCTCTTCCTTTTGCAAAGAGGGTCAATAGAAGGATCAGCTGAGAACTACATTCTCATCTAGAGAATAGAATGCGTTTTAGTTTCTCTGATGTTTTCACACCATTTGCATATTCATGACCGTGAGCAGATTGCGGCAACGTGGTTTCATCCCTGTGAGCAGCTTTAACTTGACTTATTCCAAAAAAATATTTTGATTTGTGAGCAAAGATGGGGAAACATGTGGATTTTCTGATGTTTCCGAACATGGGTGAGAAGTATGCAGCCTTTCAAAAGACGAGAAGGATAAATGATATTAAATTCTATGAAGTTAATGAGTTCTTAAAAGAAAGGACTGACTTGAGAAATTCAACAACAAACATACAGCACTTCTCTTATTACCTGGCCATGCTAGTGACGTGGATGTTGTTTTTAAATCACCATAAAGTGGAAAAGTCCTCCACTGCAAATAATCTCTCTTTTATCTCGCCCGAGTTTTTAATTAGTTTTAATTAGTTTTTCTTTTAAAAACTTTTCTTTTCCTTTTCTTGTAATAATAACAATAATAAAGTAAAATAATAAATGTAATAATAAGAGTAAAATGATAAATGTAATAATAATAGAGTAAAATAATAAATGTATAATAATAATAATAATAATAATAATAATAATAAAAGAGTAAAATAATGTAGCCCACCCATTGTCATTGTGATTTTGCCTATTGTAATTTTATATTATGTATTCACATATTTTAATTACCGTATATACTTGAGTATAAGCCAACCCGAATATAAGCCGAGGAACCCAATTTTACCACAAAAAACTGAGAAAACTGATTGACTCGAGTATAAGCCGGGGGTGGGAAATGCAGCAGCTATGGGTCAATTTCAAAATAAAAATAGATACCAATAAAATTACATTAATTGAGACAACAGGAGGTTAAATGTTTTTGAATATTTACATAAAACTGAAATTTAAGATAAGACTGTCCAACTCTGATTAAACCATTATTCTAAGCTTTTTCGATGTAAATGTGCTTAAGTATCCTTCCAATTATTTATTTTATTTATTTACATTTGTGTCCTGCCCATATAAGCCCGAACGTGACTCATAATAATAATAATAATAATAAAGAGAGGAAAATCATAAATGTTATAATAATAATAATAATAGAGTAAAATAATAAATGTAATAATAACAATAATAAAGTAAAATAATAAATTTAATAATAAGAGTAAAATGATAAATGTAATAATAATAATAAATAGAGTAAAATAATAAATGTATAATAATAATAATAATAATAATAATAATAATAATAATAATAACAGAGTAAAATAATAAATAACCTTGATTCGAGTATAAGCCGAGGCGGACTTTTTCAGCCTACAAAAAGGCATATACTCGAGTATATACAGTAGTTTTTCTTTTAATCATTACATGTAGCCCGTCCATTGTCATTGTGATTTTGTCTATTGTAATTTTATATTGTTATGTATTCACATGTTTTATGTAATTATGATGTTTTTTATTGTTCGCGTTTTCGGTTTGTGTTTTCAGTTTTACTTTATTGTAATTAGTTATTTGAGCCTGGCCTCATGTAAGCCGCCCCGAGTCCCCTTTGGGGAGATGGTGGTGGGGTATAAATAAAGATTATTATTATTATTATTATCATCATCATTATTATTATTGTCGTGTCAGGAGCATCCTGTTGTGAGAGAATTGGCTGTCTGCAAGGGCGTTGCCCAGGGGATGCCCGGATTATTTTGATGTTTTATCATCCTTGTGGGAGGCTTCTCTCATGTCCCCGCATGAGGAGCTAGAGCTAATAGAGGGAGCTCATCCGCCTCTCCCCGGATTCGAACCTGCGACCTGTCGGTCTTCAGTCCTGCCGGCACAGTGCTTTAACCCACTGCGCCATCGGGGGCTCCATTATTATTATTATTATTATTATTATTATTATTATTATTATTATTATTAAAAGTGCCTTAGGCTGGGTATAAGGAACCTTCTGTTGTTAGACTGCTGTTCCCATCATCCTTCAACACTCCTACACTTCCAAGGGCTGATGGGAACTGGTTGTCAAGAGGACAAGAAGACCAATATGGGAGGCATTCAGTAGCTGCCTGCAAATGGTAAAACTTTTAATAATAATAATAATAATAATAATAATAATAATAATAATAAATATTATTATTATTATTAAAAGTTTTATGTATTTGATATAATTGCTCAAAAGGCTCAGCTTGGGAGTGGGGGGGATACTTCACTCCAAAATAAGTCCACAGACGATTTTTAGGCAGCTACTGAATGCCTCCCATATTGGTCTTCTTGTCCTCTTGACAACCAGTTCCCATCAGCCCTTGGAAGTGTAGGAGTGTTGAAGGATGATGGGAACAGCAGTCCAACAACTGAAGGTTCCTTACACCCAGCCTAAGGCACCAGATTGCAATAATGGTTTCTAGACTGTTGAGATTGTTTTATGGTTTTAATAATTGTTTTTGATATTTGGTGATGCACTGTGTTAATATGATTTATGTCTAATGTGTGGTTTTATTATTGTAGTTGTACGGCATTGAATTTTGCCATTATCTATGTGTAAACCTCTTTGAGTTCCGCTCGGGGTGAGAAAAGCGGTATATAAATACTATAAATAATAAATAGAAGATATATTGTGAATGTTTCTTTCATTTTTTCCCCTGTGTGTTTATTTCAGGAGCTGTATATCGCTGTTGGAATATCCGGAGCTATTCAACATCTAGCCGGGATGAAAGACAGCAAGGTACTGTGCTTGTGTCACTCAAAGAAAGCAATGTATAATCCTAAAAACAATAAGAATGTTGGGTTGCTGTGAGTTTTCTTGGCTGTATGGCCATGTTCCAGAAGCATTTTCTCCTGACGTTTCGCCCACATCTATGGCAGGAAACTAGGCAAATGGGGTTTATATATCTCTGGAATGTCCAGGGTTGGAGAAAAACTCGTATCTGCTTGAGGCAAGTGTGAATGTTGCAATTGGCCACCTTGATTAACATTTAATGGCCTCGATGCTTCAAGGCTTGGCTGATTCCAAGCCCCCACGCTGGCAGTCTTCAGGAGATATCTGAAAACCTGGTTATTCCAACGTGCCTTCAGTGATTGAATGCAAGGTACTCCCTGACCAAAAACTTTGCACTAAATGACCTCAGTAGCACTTTATTTATGGTTCGTGCAATTAAATCCATCCTTATCCCTAGATCCCCCTTCCCGATGTTGGACATTGTCCTATCTCCTAGTGTTTTAAAATTTTATCCTCAATTTGGCCCTGCCCAGAGAAATCTTTTGTGATTTAATGTCTGATTTTATATTGTTGTGTTGCTATTATATTGTTTTGCATTTATGTATTTTATTTTTTGGTTTTATTATGTTTCTGTGTTATATTGTTGTGTATTGTACTGATGGGTGGGCCTCATGTAAGCCACACCGAGTCCTCTTGAGGGAGATGATATAAATAAAGTATTATTATTATTATTATTATTATTATTATTATTTGTTGGGAGGTGTTTGCTGGCCCTGATTGATTCTTGCTTTTTTAGTGTTGCTCTTTATTTACTGTCCTGATTTTAGAGTTTTTTTATAAACTGGTAGCCAGATTTTTGTTCATTTTCGTGGTTTCCTCCTTTCTATTGAAATTGTCCACATCCTTGTGGGTTTCAGTGGCTTCTTTGTGTGGTCTGATGGTGGTTGTGAGAGAGGTCCAGCATGCTCTGCTATGGCTGACTTCTCTGGTTGAAGTAGTCTTTCATGTTCCTTGATTTGTGTTTGGGTGAGACTGCGTTTGGAGGTCCCTACGTAGACTTGTCCACAGCTGCATGGTATCCGATAGACTCCTGCAGAGGTGAGAGGATCTCTCTTGTCCTTTGGTGAACGTAGCATTTGTTGGATTTTCTTGATGGGTCTGGAGATTGTTTGTAGGTTATGTTTCTTCATCAGCTTTCCTCTGTGGTCAGTAGTTCGCTTGATGTATGGTAAGAACACTTTTCCTCTGGGTGAGTCTTTGTCTTGACTCTCGTGGCTTCTTCTCGGTCTTGGAGATCTTCTGATGCCTGTTGTGGAGTCTCCATTGGCCTGGAGAGACCAGTTGAGGTAGTTCAGTTCTCCTTGGAGGAGGTGGTCTTCACAGATTCTTTTTTAATGGTCTGCCAAGGCTTTAATGGTGCTTCTTTTTTGACCTGGGTGATGGTTGGAGTTTTTATGTAGGTCTCTATCTCTATGTGTAGGTTTTCTGCAAACTGTGTGACTTAATTGTTGATCTGGTTTGCGGATGACATAGGACATCTAGAAATGTCAGTTTCCCTTCATTTTCTTGTTCCATGGTGAATTGGATGTTTGAATGGATGCTGTTGAGGTGGTCCAGGAACTTGATGAGTTCTTCTTCTCCATGGCTCCAAATGGTGAAGCTATCCCCCACATATCTGAACCATATAGTGGGCTTTTTTGTTGCTGTTTCCAGGGATTGTTTCTTAAAGTGTTCCATGTAGAAATCTGCTATGACTGCGCTGAGAGGGCTCCCCATGGCTGCTCCATCTTTCTGTTCATAGAATTAATTGTCCCACTGGAAGTGAATTGGATGTTTGGGCGCCTGTCCTTGCGGTGGTCCAGGAACTTCTTTCGTTCTTCTTCTCCTTGGCTCCAAATCTATATAAATAAAAATATAATGTTTGTTTGTGGGGTTAAGAGAACTCAAAAACCACTGGGGGAATTGACACCAAATTTGGACACAATACATGTATCAGGCCAACGAGTGACCATCTATATAAATAAAAATGTAATGTTTGTTTGTGGGATTAACATAACTCAAAAACCATTGGGGGAATTGACACCAAATTTGAACACAAGACACCTAACTACCCAATGTATGTCCTTCACTCATAAAAAGCTGAAAAACACAGCAGAAGGGACTTAAAAGCCCCAAAAAGCTAAATGACAATAGAGATAAAAAGGGAAGAAAGAGGGAGGGAAGGGGAGAAAAGAAAGAAAAGGAAAGAAAGAAAAGAAAAGAAAAAGGGAAAGAAAGAAGGAAAGGGAGAAGGAAGCATGGAAGCAAAGAGAAGGAAGGAAGGAAAGAGGTAGAGAAGGAAGAAAGGAGAGAAAGAGGGAGGGAAAGAAAAGGGGGGAAGGAAAGTTACAGAAGGAAGGAAGGAAGGAGAGAAGAAAAGAAGGAAGGAAAGAGGGAATGAAGGAAGGGGGGAAGATGTAGAGAAAGAGGAAGGGAAGGAAAGAGAGAAGGAAGAAAAGAGATAGCAGAAGAGAAAGAAAAGGGGGGGAAGGAAGGAAAGAGATAGAGAAGGAAGGAAGAAAAGAAGAAAAGACGGGAAGGAAGGAAGGAAAGAGGGAGTGAAGGAAGGAGGGAGGGAAAGAAGGAGAGAATCAGGGAAGGTTGGCCAGAGCAAAGCGTGGCGGGTACAGCTATATAAAAATATAATGTTCGTTTGTGGGATTAACATAATTCAAAAACCACTGGGTGGATTAACACCAAATTTGGACACTTTACCCCTAACAGACCAACGAGTGACCATCACTCATAAAAACACTGAAAAACACAGTGGAAGGGACTTAAAATTAAAAAATAAATAAAAAATTACATTACACTGCATGCACAAAAACCACATATATACACAGACACACATATATACGTATATACACATATATATACACACACAAAGCATAGATACACAGACTGGGCCACTGCAACACGTGGCAGAGGACAGCTAGTTCCAAATAAGAATGCTGGTGGGACCGAAGAAACGTATAGAAGTCATAGATCAATCCCATTTGATAAAGGAAGTCAATTATGTTCTAGTCAATAGTGGGCATGATTGTGTAGTAATAGCATAAACATTCAGAAATGCATTGGTTTCTCTCTCTGCATCCCCCGGTTAGGGTTTTGTAGCACAGACGACACATTCTCCTTGACAATCCTACACAGCCCTACCTTCATATATTTCAGGATCTGACACATGAATTCATGCATAACAATGCGCAATTTGAATTATGGACTTGCTATTCCATAAAGTCAGAGGCGCCTTTGAACGTTCCAGCATTTATCCATTCAAATGGAAAGCTATTATAAAATGATGATAAAACTTTAAAAGGTTTAACTCGTTCGCAGCCGAAATGTTTCCGGCCAAAGCGAGACGGGCGCCTTTCTCAGACCAAGATGCTCTTTGCGTGTTGCCAGGGGAAGGTGGCCCCAATTACACGTTTGGAATAAATGAGAGTTTCCCTTGCCTGTTTGGTAGGCGGTTGAAATCATATACATCTTCTTCAGTGTGCTTTTTCTCCTTGAAATAATTTCTTGTTGTCACAAACAACTATTTCCGAGCCATTAAATACTATACTTTTTTTGGATCTGGTTTCATCAGCTTCGTAGAAAATTAGCATATTTACTGTATATACTTGAGTATAAGCCTAGTTTTTCAGACCCTTTTTTAGGCTGAAAAAGCTGCCCTGTTATTTATTATTTTACTCTGTTATTACTATTATTTTTATTACATTTATTATTTTCCTCTATTATTTGTATTATTACATTTGCATTATTTTACTCTATTATTATTTTATTACATTTATTTTACTCTATTTATTATTATCATTATTATATTTGCATTATTTTACTCTATTTATTATTATTATTATTACATTTATTATTTTACTTCAGTATTGTTAATTACATTTATTATTTTACTCTATTATTGGCATTATTACATTTGCATTATTTTGCTCTATTATTATTTTATTGCATTTATTTTACTCTCTTTATTATTATCATTATTACATTTATTATTTTACTTTAGTATTATTGTTAATTACATTTATTATTTTACTCTGTTATTGGCATTATTGCATTTGCATTATTTTACTATATTATTATTTTATTACATTTATTTTACTCTATTTATTATTATTATTACATTTATTATTTTACTTTAGTATTATTGTTAATTACATTTATTATTTTACTCTTATTGGCATTATTACATTTGCATTATTTTACTCTATTATTATTTTATTACATTTATTTTACTCTTATTATTACATTTATTATTTTACTTTATTATTATTGGAAGGATACGTAAGCACATTGACACTGAAAAAGGTTAGAATAATTGTTTAATCAAAGTTGGTCAGTCTTTTTTTAAATTACAGTTTTATGTTTCCTCAATTAATGTAATTTTATTGGTATCTATATTTATTTTGTATTACCAGTAGCTGCTGCATTTCCCACCCTCGACTTATATTCGAGTCAATAAGTTTTCCCATTTTTTTGGTGGTAAAATTAGGTGCCTCGGTTTATATTCGGGTCGGCTTATACTCGAGTATATACGGTAAATGTTTTTTATGCCTTTATGGATGTTTTTGAATTGTTTTGTTTGTGCATAAGCTCCTGGCACACTGCCTTTTGAGTAGCACATTTGCTAGAAAGCTTGGCGAAAAATAACTTTAAAAAAGTAATTTCTTCCCCTTGTTACACTGTTCAAAAAAGTAATCCATTGTAGCATTTTGCAGAGTTTGTTTCCTTGTTCCTTTTTTTTGAGAGAGAGAGAGAGAGAGAGAGGTAAAAACAACTGTAAGAGAACAGTGGAAAACATTTTCTGTTAAAATGCTTTAAATCAACCTTCCAAATGCCGCGACCCTGTAATACAGTTCCTGATGTTGTGGTGACCCCCAACCAGAAAATTACTTTCGTTGCTAGAGAAGACCTATTGCAGTGTTTCTCAGCCTGGGGGTTGGGACCCCTGCGGGGGTCGTGAGAGGGTTTCAGAGGGGTCGCCGAAGACCATCAGTAAACACGTATTTCTGATGGTCTTAGGAAACACTTTGGAATAGTCGTTTGGGTTCACAGTGCTCTCCGGATGCAGATGAACTATATCTCCCCTAAATCATGGTCAATTCATCCTGAATCCCTCCAGTGTTTTCTGTTGATCATGGGGGTTCTGTGCGGGACGTTTGGCCCAATTCTATTGGTGGGTTTCAAAATACTCTTTGATTGTAAGTGAACTATAAATCGGCAACTACATCTCCCAAATGTCAAGGTCTATTTTCCTCAAGCTCCACTAGTATTCACATTTGGCCATACTGAATATTCGTGCCAAGTTGGTCCAGATCTATCATTGTTTGAGTTCACAGTGCTCTCTGGATGTAGGTGAACTACAACTTCCAAACTCAAGGTCGATTCCCACCAAACCCTTCCAGTATTTTTGGTTGGTCGTGGGAGTTCTGTGTGTCTCAGTTTGATTCAATTCCGTCATTGGCAGAGTTCAGAATGCTCTTAGATTGTTGGTAAACTATAAATCCCAGCAACTACAACTCCCAAATGACAAAATCAATCCTCCCAACCCCACCAGTATTCAAATTTGGGCATATCGGGTATTTGTGCCAAATTGGGTCCAGTGAATGAAAATATATCCTACGTATCAGATATGTACATTACGATTAATAACAGTAGCAAAATTATAATTATGAAGTAGCAATGAAAATAATGTCAAGGTTGGGGGTCACCACAACAGGAAAAGCTGTATTAAGGGGTCGCGGCATTAGGAAGGTTGAGAAACACTGATATACGGTATATACCGTTGTTAGGCATGCTTCATTGCAAGTTCTGGGGGTTGCTTTGAATTTATTTTCCAAGGGATGCATTGGTTGCAATCTACCTGCTAGAGAAGACCTATTGAATCCATAAATGTCTGGAATGTTGGCTTATCCTGGGTTCTTTTTTCAGACCATTGTGGCCATCAACAAGGACCCAGAAGCCCCCATATTCCAAGTTGCAGACTATGGCTTGGTAGCAGACTTGTTTAAGGTAAGATCCCTCTCTCCAAAGTTTTGGGGCACAGGTTGCACTCGAAACCAGGACTTCCTCTTCTTTAAAAAAATGATTTTATTAAATTTTCACATAGAAATATATAAAACCACCACCACATCACCAAAACAGACAATAAAAGAAGAAGAAAAAATGTACAGGGAAAGTGGGAGAATCTTGAAGTATAGAAAAGTAGGAAATGTCAAAAAATTAAGCCTACCAAAGTGGAAAAAGAATAAAATAATAATAATAATAATAATAATAATAATAATAATAATAAATAACAAAAAAATAAATGTTGACTTCCATTCTGTGTCTCTGCTTATATATTTAGTATTCTTATTCAATTGTTTAGGTAAAGGTAAAGGTAGTCCCCTGACATTAAGTCCAGTCATGTCTGACTCTGGGGTGTGGTGCTCATCTCCATTTCTAAGCCGAAGAGCCAGCGTTGTCCGTAGACACCTCCAAGGTCATGTGGCCAGCATGACTGCATGGAGCGCCGTTTCCTTCCCGCCGGAGCGGTACCTATTGATCTACTCACATTTGCATGTTTTCGAACTGCTAGGTTGGCAGAAGCTAGGGCTGACAGCGGAAGCTCACGCCGCTCCCCAGAATCGAACCTGCGACCTTTCGATCAACAAGCTCAGCAGCTCAGTGCTTTAACCCACTGAGCCACCGGGGGCTCAGTTTACGTCCCATCTATTCCTTCTATTCCTTCTCAGGAAATAATGTTATTTTATATTAGTAGAAAAGAGGCATTTTGCTATTTTTACATATATATCTATCATAGATCTCATACCAAAAAAAAAAGTTATCAATTATTATTTTCCTGCCTCTTTTCTTTTAAGCACTTTTCAAAAAATGACCAATCTGTCTCTCTTATAGAATTTCCTCCCCCTCCCCCTCCCCCTCCCCCTTCCCTTTCCCCTTTTTTCTGTGTCATCATTTAGTTTTTTTGTTATTTAGCTTTTTTGGCTTTTTAAGTCCTTTCCACTGTTTTTTTTTGGGGGGGGGGAGGTACGAGTGATGGTCACTCGTTGGTCTGTTAGGGGTATAGTGTCCAAATTTGACATCAATTCATCCAGTGGTTTTTGAGTTATGTTAATCCCACAAACGCACATTACAACAACATTATCAAAATGACATTATTATTATTATTATTATTATTATTATTATTATTATTAATAATAATAATAATAAACAACTTTATTTCTACCCTGCCACCATCTCCCCGATGGGGACTCGGAGCGGCTTACATGGGGCCAAGCCTGGACAACATAATACAGCAATAAAATCAAAACATATACAACAGACAACAACAACATTATCAAAATGACATTAATAATAATAATAAAATAAAATAAAATTTCCAATAGACACAATCACAATAGAGATGACAATAAGCGGGCCACATATTCTGAATTAAAAAAAACAATTAACAGATTATAATGAGATAAAATAGGAGCAGGGCGTATAAATGGAAGCATTCTCTCCTGATGTTTTGCCTGCATCTAGGGCAGGCATTCTCAGATGATCCCATGCTTACAATTCTACCTGAAAAGAAAATGGGACTACAGATACGTGACCCAGAGGGTGGCAAATTTTTTCAAATTATGTCGTATAGTGTTATCATTAAATATCAGTTTGGTCTTTTTAGAGGCTTGTTTTTTTAATCCCTGCACAAAAGGCCTTAATACGGAAAACCACACTACTGAAGTCTAATGTTTGAAAATGCTTATTTGGTTGCTGTTGATGGTGCTTCCCTTTGGCCCTTCCTCTGCGCCCGTCTCTCTCGGCCTCTCCTTGCCCTCAACTGGCATGTCGGACTGGCAGGAATGGTGGCAAGGCGAGTAGAAGCCTTGCCAGCACTTAATGCCACGCCTGAGCAGATGCCCGCCGGCTTGGCAGTAAACACGGGCCTTTTAATAAGCTGGAGACAAAAGCAACATTCGGAAGAAACAACATGTAGACAATTTCCTTGATAAATTTTGTACGACCGCATTATTTCCGCCTAATGGAAAAGTAGATCTCTTCAATAATTGAGAGGCTATATTCCTCAGCCTCGGGTTCAGCCGGGATCTCTCTTGAGCGAGGGAACGGAATGGAAAAGCGAGGGAACGGATAGCCGGCCAAGGGCTTCAGGTGTAGCCGCGCCACCTGCTTTCATGCACCGCTGCCCTTGAAACCAGGAAGGATCACAGTGTGTGACACCGTCTTTAGTTTAATCAAGTGGCTCGGACGCAGCCCTTGCCAAGAGGTTGGCACAGGTCCCTCTTAGAGCAGGCATGGGCAAACTTTGGCTACACTGTTGGGAATCTAGTCCAGGCAAGGGCAAACTTTGGCTACGCTGTTGGGAATCTAGTCCAGGCAAGGGCAAACTTGGGCCTTCCAGATGTTTTGGACTCCAACTCCCACAATTCCTAACAGCCTCAGGCCCCTTCCTTTTCCCCTTAGCTGCTTAAGCCTTGAGTTTGACATATGTGCCCTAAGAAGTTCCTGGTCACACTTCAGGAAGTTGAAGGCTAAAAGCTTAAAGTATGGGGCCCACTGTCCTGAAGGCACTAGGCCCTGACTGATCTTGGAGGTTGATACTCATGGGAGGTCACCAATTCATTCGATGTGCTCCAAGTACTATTTCCTAGGAAGAGATCGCCTACGATTATACTCTAGGTCTATGAAAACTTTGAGGGGGGAAAGGAAATGGACCGAGGCTGCCGAGGGGGAAAAGGAAAGGGACCGAGGCTGCCGAGGGGGGAAAGGAAAGGGACCGAGGCTGCCGAGGGGGGAAAGGAAAGGGACCGAGGCTGTTAGGAAAGGTGGGAGTTAAAGTCCAAGGTGAGTGCACCTTCGTATTATATGAAGAAATATGTGAGCCCATCTAGCCTAAAGTACTGACGTTTTAGCATCTGAAATGGCTTCTTAAAAGTTGGTATTCCTTTTTTAAAATTTGCTATTTTGATGTATTTTTCTCTGCAGGTTGTTCCCGAGTTGACAGCTGCCTTGAAAAAATGAAAATTCATCTTGGAAATGGGGTGCTTGAGATAATTTTTTAAAAAGTAAAATCTTAAATTATATTTTATCTACTGAAAAATAATAGCAACCTTTAAATTATTACCAAAAATGGGAACTCTAGATGACCTCCGGGATGCCTTATATCATATATCTATTTTTGCTTTCACCTGTAATTTAGGTTCTGAAATGGTCTTTTTTTCTAATTATGTAATAAATATGTATTTCATGGTGGCATCTTACACTTTGCTGACCTGATATTTGTGTCCACTAACAATTTTGTGTGCCTTAACGGTCTCTTGTTGGCTTACCTCTCCATACCTCTCACCTTATATACATAAGTCGAAGGCTTTCATGCCCAGAATCCCTGGGTTGTTGTGAGTTTTCCAGGCTGTCTGGCCATATTCCAGAAGCATTGTCTCCTGATGTTTCATCCACATCCATAGCAGGCATCCTCAGAGGTTGTAAAGTATGTTGAAAACTAGGCAAGTGGGGTTTATATATCTGTGGAATAATGTCCAGGGTGGGAGAAAGAACTCTTGTTTGTTGAAGGCAAGTGTGAATGTTTCAATTGGCCAGCTTGATTAGCATTGCAGCTTCAAAGCCTCGCTGGTTGCTGCCTGTGAGGGATCATTTGTTGGTAGGTGTGAGGCAAGTAGGGTTTATATATCTGTGGAATAATGTCCAGGGTGGGAGAAAGAACTCTTGTTTGTTGGAGTGATCGTTTGTTGGAGTGATCTTGTTTGTGTGATCGTTTCAGTTGGTCACCTTGATTAGCATTGCAGCTTCAAAGCCTCGCTGGTTGCTGCCTGTGAGGGATCATTTGTTGGGAGGTGTGAGGCAAGTAGGGTTTATATATCTGTGGAATAATGTTCAGGGTGGGAGAAAGAACTCTTGTTTGTTGGAGGCAAGTGTGCCACCTTGATGAGCATTGGTTGGCCTTGCAGCTTCAAAGGCTCACTGGCTGCTGACTGTGGGGGATCATTTGTTGGAAGGTGTTAGTCAAGTGGGGTTTATATATCTGTGGAACGTCGGGGTGGGAGAAAGAACTCTTGTGTGTTGGAGGCAAGTGTGAATGTTTCAGTTGGCCACCTTGATTAGCATTGGTGGGCCTTGCAGCTTCAAAGCCCCGCTGGTTGCTGCCTGTGAGGGATCATTTGTTGGGAGGTGTTAGGCAAGTGTGGAATGTCCAGGTTGGGAGAAAGAACTCTTGTCTGCGTAAGGCACGTGTGAATTTTGCAATTGATCACCTTGATTAGCATTGAATAGCCTTGCAGCTTCAAAGCTTGCCTGGGGGAATCCTTTGTTGGGAGATTAATAGCCGGCCCTGATTGTTTCCTTGTCTTGTCTGGAATTACCCTGTTTTTTGAAATTTTGCAATTGGCCACCTTATTTATTTATCGTGTCATCAGCAACCAGACATTTGTGTTACATTTTTAACAAAAACAGACAGACAGACAAAACACAGAATTTGTGAGTTTGGTAGTTGATTAAATGTCCTTTGACCAGTAGCTGGCCCCTTGGAGTGCCTCTGGTGTTGCCGCAAGGAGGTCCTCCATTGTGCATGTGGCGGGGCTCAGGTTGCATTGCAGCAGGTGGTCTGTGGTTTGCTCTTCTCCACACTCGCATGTTGTGGATTCCACTTTGTGGCCCCATTTCTTGAGGTTGGCTCTGCATCTCGTGGTGCCAGAGCGCAGTCTGTTCAGCGCCTTCCAAGTCGCCCAGTCTTCTGAGTGCCCAGGGGGGAGTCTCTCATTTGGTATCAGCCATTGATTGAGGTTCTGGGTTTGAGCCTGCCACTTTTAGACTCTCGCTTGCTGGGGTGTTCCAGCAAGTGTCTCTGTAGATCTTAGAAAACTATTTCTTGATTTAACCAGTGAGGCTGATACCCAAACAAGGGATGGGCTGGAGATGTCACTGCCTTGGTCCTTTCACTATTGGCTGCTACTTCCCGGCAGATGTCAGGTGGTGCAATACCGGCTAGACAGTGTAATTTCTCCAGTGGTGTGGGGCGCAGACACCCCGTGATAATGCGGCATGTCTCATTTAGAGCCACATCCACTGTTTTAGTGTGGAGAGATGTGTTCCACACTGGGCAGCAGAGTAGCATAGCGCAAGGGCAGATGCCTTCACTGTGTCTGGTTGTGATCCCCAGGTTGTGCCAGTCAGCTTTCGTATGATATTGTTTCTAGTGCCTACTTTTTGCTTGATATTCAGGCAGTGCTTCTTGTAGGTCAGGGCATGATGCAGAGTGACTCCCAGGTATTTGGGTGTGCTGCAATGCTCCAGTGGGATTCCTTCCCAGGTCATCCTCAGAGCTCGAGATGCTTGTCTGTTTTTGAGATGAAAGGCACATGTCTGTGTTTTAGATAGGTTAGTGATCAGCTGGTTTTCCCTGTAAATAGGCAGTGAGAGTACCTAGAGCTTCGGAGAGCTTCTGTTTTACCATCTCAAAGCTCCCTACTTGAACAGTAATGGCACCATCATCAGCATAGATGAAACTCTCTGTCCCTTCTGGCAGTGGCTGGTCATTTGTGTAGATGTTGAACATGGATGGAGCAAGCACGCTTCCCTGAGGCAGGCCGTTCTTCTGTTTCCGCCATCTGCTTCTCTGGCCCTGGAACACAACAAAAAAGCTCCTGTTTTGTAGCAGGGTTGGCCACCTTGATTAGCATTGAATAGCCTTACTGCTTCAAAGCTTGCCTGGGGGAATCCTTTGTTGATAGATTATTAGCCGGCCCTGATTGTTTCCTTGTCTTGTCTGGAATTCCCTTGTGTTTTGAAATTTTGCAGTTGACCACCTTGATTAGCATTGAGTAGCCTTGCAGCTTCAAAGCTTGCCTGGGGAAATCCTTTGTTGAGAGTTGATTAGCTGGCCCTGATTGTTTCCTTGTCTTGTCTGGAATTCCCTTGTTTTTTGAGTGATCAGGACAGTAAGTAAAGAACAACACTAAAAAAACAGGGGAATTCCAGACCAGAAACAACACTCTAACTCAGTCATCTCTACCTGAAAACTCTATCCCAGTTATATCCTACCTTGTCTATGTCCAGCATTATTTTTTAAATTTTAAATTATTGCATTTGGCCCAGTCATAGGTTTTAAATGCTTGTTGTTATTGTTACTGTTTATTGGGTTGTTGTAGGTTTTTTCGGACTATATGGCCATGGTCTAGAGCAGTGTTTCTCAACCTGGGGGTCGGGACCCCTGGAGGGGTCGCCAGGGGGTGCCAGAGGGGTCACCAAAGACAATCAGAAAACACAATATATTTTTTTTGGTCATGGGGGCTCTGTGTGGTAAGTTTGGCCCAATTCTATCATTGGTGGGTTCACAATGCTTTTTTATTGTAGGTGAACTAAAAATCCCAGCAACTACAACTCCCAAATGTCAAGAACTATTTTCCCCAAACTCCACCAGTGTTCACATTTAGCATACTGAGTATTTGTACCAAGTTTGGTCCAGATCCATAATTGTTTGAGTCCATAGTGCTCTCTGTAGGTGAACTACAACTCCTAAACTCAAGGTCAATGCCCACCAAACCCTTCCAGTGTTTTCTGTTGCTTGTGGGCATTCTGTGTGCCAAGTTTGGTTCAATGTATTGTCGAAGGCTTTCATGGCTGGAATCACTGGGTTGTTGTAGGTTTTTTCAGGCTATATGGCCATGTTCTAGAGGCATTCTCTCCTGACGTTTCGCCTGCATCTATGGCAAGCATCCTCAAAGGTAGTGAGGTCAGTTCAGTTCAATTCAATCGTTGGTGGAGTTCAGAATACTCTTTGATTGTAGGTGAACCATAAATCCCAACAACTATAACTCCCAAATTGTTTCATAACAGGAGCAAAATTACAGCTATGAAGTAGCAAAAGAATGTTATGGTTGGGGGTCACCACAACATGAGGAACTGTATTAAGGGGTCACGGCATTAGGAAGGTTGAGAAACACTGGTCTAGAGGCATTCTCTCCTGCCTACATCTATGGCAAGCATCCTCAGAGGTAGTGAGGCCATAGATGCAGGCGAAACGTCAGGAGAGAATGCCTCTAGACCATGGCCATATAGCCCGAAAAAACCTACAACAACCCAGTGATTCCGGCCATGAAAGCCTTCGACAATACATTACTGTTTATTGTTTATTTTTGTTTATGAGATTTATTTTAACTGTTGTATTGATTGTTTTCTTATTGCTTTTACTGTTGATGTACTTTGGGCTCGGCCTCATGTAAGCCGCACCGAGTCCCTTGGGGAGGAGGTAGCGGGGTATAAATAAAGTATTATTATTATTATTATTATTATTATTATTATTATTATTATTATTATTATTATTATTAGACCTGGTTTGTACTCTCTTTGAGCAACACATCAGGACCTAACTGGTCTATAGAGGTTTGTTATAGATCCTGGGAAGAAAGGTTTAGATCCCATCCTCTTGATTTTCTTTTGCTGGATTTTGGTCTTAATTGTCCTGACGTGGGTATCCTGGGACTGGCGCTTGCAGAGCGAATCTGATTGTGACGCAAGGAGACAGCCTCCATCGCAACGTGGTGCGGAGGAGGAGGTGTTAGTTGTAATCGGAAGAGAAACCTCAGGGAAGTCCTGTCGGGGACACTTAGGCTGAGAAAGACAAGAGTTGGAAGTGACAAGGGACAGTTTGGAAAATGGAAACCTAGGGATGATGCTTTGCAATGATGAATGGCTGCATCTGGTTGCGACAAACGGCTTGCGCCATTGGGAGCAGGAGCAGTGTTCCAGCCCGAGGTATTGAGTTACAGAAAAGGGTAGGAGAGCTAGGAAAGGGATCGAATGTCCCTTCTGTTTACCAGGCGAGCAGCAACATCTACTCCTTCTTTGGGATTCAGATCAGAAGTAGCACCAAAGTCGTACTCTTAACTCCTGCTTAACTTCTCATACGGTTCAAGCAGGCCCGCACAACTTGACTATAGGCGAAGGTTCGAATCCGGAGAGAGAGTGGATGAGCTTGCAGATGGCCAATTCTCTCACACCAGAAGCGACTTGCAGTTTCTCAAGTCGTTTGTCAGTCTTCAGTCCTGCCGACACAAGGGTTTAACCCACTACTGAGAAAGTGGGACGTTCCTAAAGTCACCCAGTGGATTGAGCGCCATAGTCCGAGGTTCAAACCTCTAACCACTCTTTCTGAAATCTGAAGACATTCTCACTTGACGGCATTCTCAGAGGTTGAGGAGTCTGTTCCAACAGCTCAGCGGTTTAATCTGCTGCGCCTACCAGAATAGGCCATCCCAGTATTCCAACTACCCAATACTAGTTCCATTATGACCCAAAAAAGCACACTTTTTTTGGTTTGTTTTGTAAAAAAAGACACCCTTTTAATGAAAACAACATTTGTAAAATGTCCATCTGTTGTGTTGTCTTGGAGGCAATTAAGTTTTGTCAAAATATTTCCCCCCAAAGTTCATGCTAAAAATAAAAAGGGATTCTGCTCCCCGATGTCTTTGATCCGCATCATTCAAAGTGCTCCCTGAAAAAATGTTTTCTTTCCCCCCAGGAAGAACAAAAATAATTGCCATATTTATACAAAGGGGTATTTTTTTGTTATCGCTGTCACGTACAAAGGAAAACCGTAAGAAATTGTGTTGGGAGAGATGTGTTTCCCCCTGTGGACGCCGTACCCTGCTGAAACCTGACCTGATAGAAGATTGTCCAGAATTTCATAAAAATAGTGGGAATTACGTATGCTGTTTTTGTTCTCTTTTTAGAAAAAAGAAACGTGTTAAGAATCTATACATCTTTGAGGTCTTGGTTTGTGGCTCTCCCCAGCCCCATTTCTTCTTTGGGGGGTGAAGCCTGAGGGCGGCTTTGTATGGTAGCAATGTCGACGTTTCTCGGGCTGGCTCACCCAACTCATGCATTTTTAAAAATGAATTTTCCGCTTACTCCGATCTATGGGATGGTTTGGCAGCCCCCCCCTTAAAGCTCTAGAAGGCCCCCCTCCTCCATTTATCCCCCCTCCCCATGGCAACAAAAGGATTATGAATCCGGGACCCTGTTTAACTTTTGCTCTTTGGATTCCAAAGACGTATACTTGTCAATCATGGGCGCGTTCTGCTGGAAGTGGATGACCGGCTTGATCTGGAACACGCCAAAGCTTTCCTGGTTCTTCTTGTTGTAAAGGTTCATGCGGTGCTCCAGTTCCGGGCTGGCTTTGGTCGACCCGGCCGGGCTGGGCAGCTTCAGGTTGACCGGGTCCAGTCTTTTCTGCGTCAAGCAGGAATCGTCGGACAGCGACGAGAGCAGTTCTTGCACCACCGCGTTGTTGACCCTGCTGTGGGCGGAGGAGGACGAGGAGGAGGACGACGAGCCGGCCGGGTTGCCTTGGGGCGCGTGGGCACCGGCCCGCTCCAAGGGGCAGTACTCGGAGGACTCCTCCCGGGTGGTGCTGCAGTCCGTGGAGGAGCCAAAGGTCTGGCTGCTGTCGCTCTGCGCCCGCGTGACGGAGCTGTCCGTGGAGCGGGAGGCGCTGCCCGAGGCCACGCTGGTGGACGTTCCGTTGCTCCCCACGATCTTCATTGGCACTTCCACGGTAAAGAGGTCAGAGGAGATGTTGGGGTGGTGGACGTCGATGGCGGCCGTCGTGATGACACCAATAGCGCCTTCCGGAACGCCGCTGTCTGCACACAAGCAGGAAAAGGGGGAGAACCTTATAATAATAATAATAATAATAATACAACAGCCATGTCGACTCATCTTGTGGTGTTTCAAATAATAATAATAATAATAATAATAATAATAATAATAATAATAATATAGCGCCTTCCGGAACACCGCTGTCTACACACAAGCAGGAAAAGGGGGAGAACCTTATAATAATAATAATTATTATTATTTATTTACTTTACTTATATGCCGCTGTTCTCAGCCCGAAGGCGACTCACAGCGGTTCACAACAAATAAGAACAGCAAAAATTCAATGCTACAGTGTAAAAACAGTTAACAACCTAACATATTACATAATTAATAAACAATTACTACAATAACCATTCACTATTCACTATTGTCTCATCATCAAAAACATGATCCAGATTCGTCATCCATTATTCCGTTCCAATGTTCATTAACCAATCATTGCACTAATTATTCGAACGCCTGCTCAAACAGCCAGGTCTTCACTTTTTTGCAGAATACCATTAGAGATGGTGCTAGTCTAATGTCCGTAAAAAATATGGAACGCTTCATGAATTTGCGTGTTGTATAATAATAATAATAATAATAATAATAATAATAATAATAATAATAATAATAAGGTTCTTGTGGTTTTTTTTGGGCTATATGGCCATGTTCTAGAGGCATTCTCTCCTGACGTTTCACCTGCATCTATGGCAAGCATCCTCAGAGGTAGCTGAGGATGCTTGCCATAGATGCAGGCGAAACGTCAGGAAAAATGCCTCTAGAACATGGCCATATAGCCCGAAAAAACCCACAAGAACCTAGTGATTCCAGCCATGAAAGCCTTCGACAATAATAATAATAATAATAATAATAATAATAATAATAATAATATAGCGCCTTCCAGAACGCCGCTGTCGCACACAAGCAGAAAAAGGGGGAGAACCTTATAATAATAATAATAATGATAATGATAATATAGCGCCTTCCGGAACGCTGCTGTCTACACACAAGCAGGAAAAGGGGGAGAACCTAATAATAATAATAATAATGATAATGATAATATAGCGCCTTCCGGAACGCTGCTGTCTACACACAAGCAGGAAAAGGGGGAGAACCTAATAATAATAATAATAATAATAATAATAATAATAATAATAATAATAATAATAATAATATGGCACTTTCCAGAACGTCGCTGTCTGCACACAAGCAGGAAAAGGGGGAGAACCTTATAATAATAATAATAAAGGGACCGAGGCTGCCGAGGGGGGAAAGGAAAGGGACCGAGGCTGTTAGGAATGATGGGAATTAAAGTCCCAAACTCCTGGAGGGCCCAAGTTTACCCATGCCAGCTTTAGACTAATACATTCTATCTTGTGTACTAAGACTCTTGACAGCTCAGTTTGGAGGATGGAGCCCAAGTACTTGCAGTATTAAGAGATGGCAAATGAAAAATTGTGTTTTTGTAACAGAATCCCCCATCCGAGCACAAAATAAGGCAAAGTGCTTTGGGTGTATGACATTTCAGAATAATATCCATTGACTTCATGGACTTCTCAAGGTAGGTTTACATATGTGACTAACGGAAAGGGGGAGGGGGGGAGAGAAATCCATTTGGATTGTGACCCAGTGACCACTGCTCTAACTGTAATCTTTGCGGGTGTTGCGTTATTTTATCCTCCTCTCGTTGGGCTTCACCCCTTTCAAAGGTTCTCAGCGTGAAGCTCTCTTCTCCTCCCCGATGGAGACGCGCATTCCCTCCTGCGCTGTTTCCATCTGAGATGCCCGACTCTTAAATGGAACTAGGCAGACCTCAAAGGGCAACTGAACCTTAAAGTCATTAGGATTGACTTCATGGGGAGCCCAGGGGTTTCCAGAAGGAAAAAGGAAGGAAGCCTCTGGTCCAGACAGTTCTGCACAAAACATACAAAAGCTCTCCAACTTCTATTTAACAGAACCTTCATCCAAAAATACATCAGTTGACCAGATCTGGCTGTGAACTGACACTGTTAATGTGTTTGTAAACCCGATCTATTCCATTAAAGTTGATGTAGTCATAATAATAATAATAATAATAATAAGGTAAAGGTTTTCCCCTGATGTTAAGTCCAGTTGTGTCTGACTCTGGGACTCTGGTGCTCATCTCCATTTCTAAGCCGAAGAGCCAGGGTTGTCCGTAGACACCTCCAAGGTCAGGTGGCCAGCATGACTGCATGGAGCAGCGTCACCTTCCCGCCAGAGCTATTCCTATTGATCTACTCACATTTGCATGTTTTCCAACTGCTAGGTTGGCAGAAGCTGGGGCTGACAGCTCCCCGGATTTGAACCTGTGACCTTTCGGTGCACCATTACCTTCCTGCCGGTAATGTATTTGCATGTTTTCAAACTGCTAGGTTGGCAGGAGCTGGGCTAACAGCAGGAGCTCCTGCTGTTCCCCAGATTTGAACCAGCAAGTTCAGCAGCTCAGTGGTTTAACCCACTGCACCACCCGGGGCACATTAAATAGCATTAAAGTCACACCATCCAGAATTGTAATCTGAAGCCACCACTAAGAAGGCCCTGTCTCTTATCTCCACCAGTCGTGCCTGCAAAGGAGGTGGGCCGAGAGCAGAGCTTCCCCAGAAGATTGTAATCTCCGAGATGGTTCATAGAGGGAGATATGTTCGGACAGTTAAGCTGGGCTGGAACCATTTAGGGCTTTATAGGCTAAAGCCGGCACTTTGAGTTGTGCTCAGTAGCAGACGGGCAACCAGTGGAGCTTATGCAACAGGGAGGTGGTATGTTCCCTGTACGGCACTCCGATGCGCAGCCTGGCTGCCGTCCGTTGGACCAGTTGTAGCTTCTGAGCAATCTTCAAAGGCAACCCCATGTTGAGCGCGTTGCAGTAATCTATACGGGATATAACCAGAGTGTGGACCACTTTGGCCAAGTCTGTTATATGTGTGTTAAACCTATCTATTCCATCCAGCTATAATCAGGAGACTCTAGTGTTATCTTGCCACATGTATAGATATATATATGTCGAAGGCAAGTTTTGGAGCCATAACAACGGATTTTGATATGGCTCGAGAATAAGTTGTGGGATATTCTATGGAGAAGGGAAAGGGATTTTTGCCACTCGACTAAAAGAAGATGGTACCTTTGTAATAAGAGTTACATTGATCTGTGGATAAATCAACCCTGGTTTTGGAGTCATTTTAAAACTAAAATTCCTAGAGTAGATTTTGTGTTTCCTCCACCACGGGCATCCCAGTGTTTCTTACTCTCTCCATTGGTGGGGAATTTGCATGACCCCACCCACTAAAAGGTAAAGGTAAAGGTTTCCCTGACATTAAGTCTATTCATGCCAGACTCTGGGACTCTGGTGCTCATCTCCATTTCTAAGCCAAAGAGCTGGCATTGTCCAGAGACACCTCCAAGGTCATGTGGCCAGCATGACTGCATGGAGCACCGTTACCTTCCCACAGAAGTGGTACCTATTGATGTACTCACATTTGCATGTTTTCGGACTGCTAGGTTGGCAGAAGCTGTGGCTAACAGCGGGAGCTCACCCCATTCCCTGGATTTGAACCGCCAACCTTTCGGTCAGTAGCTCAGCGGTTTAACCCGCTGCGCCACCATGTATATGTGTATATTAAGGCAAGTCAAAAGTTCCTGATTCCAGACTTACCGCTACTGGGCTCATTGTAGTATTGACTGATGTAGTTGTTCATGTCGTCTTTGACCATCGTCTCTGAAATGTAAAATGAGAATGGTCAACTGCAAAACTCTGTGGAGAAATATTGGGTTTTTAGAGAACCAACACGCATCCTAATCTGGAGACTTCCAAAAACACAAACAGTATGCATTACTCAGGTGACTTTTGAGATATGTGTAGTCAGTATCCTAACGTCTTCATATAAGGATATGACTGCACACAGAATATTGTGCAGGGTTGCGGCCTCAAAACCAACCCCACCAGATTGGAAAAGGGGGAGCAAACCCTTTTTGAAGGCCAGGAGGGTTCTCCGGAAGAGGAAAGCAAGGGAAGACTTAACGGAGCGACACAGAAGAATTCATGGAGTCAAAAAAGCAAACAAGCAGGACGTCTTCTGCCTGTTTCCTAATACGAGGTCCCTGTGGGGTTGCCCAAAATGACCAGATTCAAGACACATATTTCTTTACACAGTCTGCAGCTAAACAACGGCATTGACTATATATAGGCATGGATGACAAATGGAGATTAGATATATTCCTTCCTTCTCCTTCTCTCTTTCACTCTCCAACGGCGCTGTGGAAGCTGCGAGAAGGGGAAGGCAACAGTCCTGCTTTCCTTCCTTCCTTCCTTCCTTCCTTCCTTCCTTCCTTCCTTCCTTCCTTCCTTCCTTCCTTCCTTCCTTCCTTCCTTCCTTCCTTCCTTCCTTCCTTCCTTCCTTCCTTCCTTCCTTCCTTCCTTCCTTCCTTCCTTCCTTCCTTCCTTCCTTCCTTCCTTCCTTCCTTCCTTCCTTCTCTCTGTCCTTCTCTCTCTTCCTGTCCTCCAACGGCAGCACGCACCCATGGCCGTGGATCATATTTTAGGTCTTGCAGCCCACCAGTGGGCCACAGCCTATGGGTTGGGAACTACTGTTCTTGATGAATCGGTCTCATAATCCTCATGACCCGAATATATTGGGAACCACTGTTCTTGATGACTCTGTCTAATAATATTCATGACCCGAATATATTGCTTGGGAATGGGAACAAATGGAAATTATCCATTTTTAACGCCTTGTCCAATTGGCACCAGTCTAGCCAACATGGACGTAGTGCTGGACAAGATAAGCCTTTGGTCACAGTTGCAAGAAATCTCTTATTCTGATGAGCACAAAGCTTCTCTTTGGACACGCTCATCGTAATTTAGAAAAAAACTTTTGCTCTGAAATATATCCCAAAGGAAACAGGGGACAAAAACACTAATTGTGCAGAAATGTGGCCGAAAGGGAAGCCAGAAAAAGAGAAAAGCACCTCAACTTTGGATGCAGTTATTGCGCATTCGGTATGGAAACTGAAAAAAGGTGAACACGTTCCACCAGAAATACGCAAAGAAGATCAAGAGTTTCCGCACGCGGCTGAAATGGAAGTCCTTACACAGGATTACAAAAAGCACATTAAGGAACACCCAAGCCGACAAGCAACCCGGTCGGTTGGTCATCCCCCTTTGTGGCGTATCATGTTCCTTAAAAGCCTCTCTCCCCCCCCCCCTTTCTAAGCGCTCCTTCTGATGCCGTGTTTCAGCGCCGAGCCCCTTCCTTCCCCTTCCTTCCTTCGAGCGGAGCCTCCTCCTCGCTTGCCCCTGGGGCTTCTGTGGCTGCGCACGGCCTCGCTGTGGTTTGCAGGTGAAAGAAACATGTTCTCTGTGGCACACTTTCCCCGCAAAACAAGGCCCAAACCACTAAGCGCCGGGTACCTGAAATAGCCGCGCACCCAAGACGGCAATCGGAGCTGACACTGAAAGGGAACGTGGCCGCGTTCCTGGTTCCGTTGCCTCTCTAAAAGCTTTCCTGGCCTCTGTTGATCTTTAAATGCCTCCAGTCAGAGGTGGGCTGTCTGCTAATGTTGGAGTTTAGAAAGGAGCCTGGGTGTAGCTCAAGGCAAGAGCCTCCAATCGGGGGTCTCTGGCAAGGCTTTCCCAGCGCTCTGCGGTCCAAACGCGCGGCGTTTCCATCATCCATAATTGATACTATAAATGCCGTGTAGCCGCCAGGGTAGACGTTGCTACAAAAGGATTCTCGGGGGTTATCCATGACTGTCAGCAAATGAGGGGAGAAGGCTCTCTCAAACTTAGGAAAGGTGGGCCACTCACAATGTAGACACTCCGACCCGATTTTGTAATTTTGGAGTTGTAGTTGCTGGGATTTATAGTTCACCTATAATCAAAAAGCATTCTGAAATCCACCAGCGATGGATTTAAACCGAACTTGGCACAAAGAACTCCCATGACCAACAGAAAACACTGGAAGGGTTTGGTGGGCATTGACCTTGAGTGTGGAAGTTGTAGTTCACCTATATCCAGAGGAGCACTGTGGATTCATGCAATGATGGATCTGGACCAAACTTGGCACGAATACTCAGTATGCCCAAATGTGAACACTGGTAGAGTCTGGGGAAAATAGACCTTGACATTTGGGAGTTGTAGTTGTTGGGATTTATAGTTCACCTACAATCAAAGAGCATTCTGAACTCAACCAACAATAGAATTGGGTCATACTTCCCACACAGAATCCCAATGACCACCAGAAAATACTATGTTTTCTGATGGTCTTTGGCGACCCCTTTGACACCCCTCATGACCCCCAGGTTGAGAAACACTGTTCTAGAGGCATTTTCTCCTGACGTTTCACCTGCATCTATGGCAAGCATCCTCAGAGGTAGTGAGGTCTGTTGGAACCAGGAAAAAGGGTTTATATATCTGTGGAAAGACCAGGGTGAGACAAAGGACTCTTGTCTGCTGGAGCTAGGTGTGAATGTTTCAACTGACCACCTGATGAACCAACCTGGATGCAGCATATTATTTGAGAACACAGAAATGCTGGACCACTCTCACAACCACCATGTCAGACGACACAGAGAAGCCATTGAAATCCACAAGAAGCATGTGGACAGTTTCAACAGAAAGGAGGAAACCATGAAAATGAACAAAATCTGGCTACCAATATTAAAAAAACTCAAAAATTACAACAGCAAAACAACAGAGAGTAAACAATCGGGCACATTAAATCACCTCTCAAAGAAAGATTCCCCCAGGCACTGCCAAGCCATTAAATGCTAATTAAGGTGGTCAGTTGAAACATTCACACCTAGCTCCAGCAGACAAGAGTCCTTTGTCCCACCCTGGCCTTTTCACAGATATATAAACCCAGTGATTCCGGCCATGAAAGCCTTTGACAATACAGGATTTATAGTTCACCTGCAATCAAAGAGCAATCTGGACCCCAACAACAATGGACCTGGACCAAACTTGGCGCAGATACCCAATATGCCCAAATTTGAATACTAACGGGGTTTGGGAGGGACTGGCCTTGATTTCTGGGAGTTGTAGTTCACCAAAATTTGGAGACACCGTGACCCCCACCGACAATAGATCGGGACCAAACTTGGCACACAGGACCACCATGACCAACTGAGTAGACTGGAGGGGTTTGCAGGAAACTGGCCTTCATTTCTGGGAGTTGTAGTTCATCTACATTTGGAAACACTGACCCCCACCGACAATAGACCAGGACCAAACTTAGCACACAGGACCACCATGACCAACTGAGTAGACTGGAGGGGTTTTGGGGGGGGGGAGGGAGGGACTGACCTTGATTTCTGGGAGTTATAGTTCACCTACATTTGGAGACACTGTGGCCCCCACCGACAATAGACTGGGACCAAACTTGGCACACAGAACCACCATGACCAAGTGAGTAAACTCCAGGGTTTGGGGGAAACTGGCCTTCATTTCTGGAAGTTGTAGTTCACCTACATTTGGAGACACCCTGACCCCCACCGACAATAGACCGGGACCAAACTTAGGACACAGGACCACCATGACCAACTGAGTATACTCGAGGGGGTTTTTTTTTTGGGGGGGGGAGAGAGACTGACCTTGATTTCTGGGAGGTGTAGTTCACCTATATTTGGCGACACCATGACTCCAACTAACAATAGACCGGGACCAAACTTGGCATACAGGACCACCATGACCAACTGAGTAGACTGGAGGGGTTTTTTTTGGGGGGGGGGGCTGGCCTTCATTTCTGGGAGTTGTAGTTCACCCACATTTGGAGACACCATGACCCCAACTAACAATAGACTGGGACCCAACTTGGCACATAGGACCACCATGACCAACTGAGTAGACTGGAGGGGTTTGGGGGGAACTCGCCTTCATTTCTGGGAGTTGTAGTTCACCTACATTTGGAAACACCGTGGCCCCCACTGACAATAGTTGTGAGTTTTTTGGGATGCCTGGCCATGTTCCAGCAGCATTCTCTCCTGATGTTTCACCTGCACCTATGTCAGGTATCCTCACAGGTTGTGAGGTCTGTGTTATCTGTGCTGCCGTACCGATTTGCAGTATATACTGAGCTGCTGTTACTTGCCGCATGCGCCACACGATGCCAAAAACGTTGAAAACAAGGTCCTATGGAAACGCAGCACCGCAAACCAGAGCCGCTCCCTCTGGAGCTTTAACTTCTGGGTTGTGCCATAAAAATATCACGCGAAGGAGGCGGCGTCGGAAGAGGAGAAATCGGGCGAAATCTAATATTTCTCTTGGAATCTCGCAAGCCTTCATGGTCAAGTGGCCGAGGCTGAATGTGGCCATTGTTCCTTGCGAGGAGAGGGAAAATCTTGCTGGGCTCGGGAGGGAGTATCCCGTTTCCCGTGCATTCGGTCGCTCCGCTCTCTAAAAAGCCCATTGTTCAGGCCGAAGGGAAGGACTCCAAACCGAGAAGGGGTTCCAGGGGCTTGGGCTTGGCACTGCAAATCGCTGCCTGTTTTATGCTTTTGCTTGTAATGTTTTGTAGGCCCAGGTGGAGCTGACATCATCTTGGAGGCCCAATTTCGAGGCTCAAAGTCTGGCAGGGTTTTTTTTTTTATCGTGTCAGGAGCGACTTGAGAAACTGCAAGTCGCTTCTGGTGTGAGACAATTGGCCGTCTGCAAGGACATTGCCCAGGGGACACCAGGATATTTTTGATGTTTTACCGTTCTTGTGGGAGGCTTCTCTCATG